GTAGAACTGAAAGTATTTTTTTTTGTGTGTTCAGCACGGTGCACGCATTTGAATTCGTGACGGGCCGAGAACCACTGGGCTAGGGCCTATATTTGAGACCCGTGCAGACCCGTGCAGGGCTTTAATCCACTTCATCCAAAGCTGTTTTGTTCTCATCTGTGAGCATGCTCTTGGTATATGTATTTTAGGTGTGTAAATGTATAATTGCCTTTTCATTATTTTTTCAGTTTTATTTAAATTTGTAGTTAAAACAACTAAATGTATTTTAAAGTGTAGAATTAGACAGCCTTTTTGCACAGGCTTACGCTGAAAACAACAAAAAGGAACCTCCAGGTTGATCTAGGAAAATGTGTGTAAATGTATAGGGCCCCATTCCTATATTTTGCCTGGAGCCCCAATTCACTAAATCCGCCCCTGGGGCCAATCAGTCGGTTTCATTTCATACTGCTTAAACCGGATCGCTTCAGTAGGCTATATTTCTCTCTGGATCACAATGCTTTAGTTACTGCAAAAATAAAGTCATATGTCCGGTAACATTGTGATAAAGAACCATGATATGATAATTTACATTTAAAGGTATAGTTCACATAAATGTGAAAATTCTTCTATTCTTCTAAATTCTAAGGCAAACGTGAAAATCTTCATACTCACTATTACTACAAGGTGAACTATTCCTTTAATATTTTGTGTGCATGACTCATGTCCAAACTAACTAAATGATTGGAAAACACTTGGAACCCAGAGTGAATGCAGTTAAATTGCATGACTATATGAATTTATAGGGTAATTAATGCATTTGATTAAATGGTGACTGATGTCAGGAAGGTTATTTAAGGACAGCTCACGTAAGCCTACAGACCAGCCAGTGATGATTAGGCACATTGTCATGTCTCCATGTCCCAGATCCCCCTGCTGATTCCTGATGGTGTTGTCATACTCTGTCTGATTCACAGTGTAATGCCAAAACAACCTTGTCCAGGTGTTTCAGTTCAGTGCAGCTCTGCTGACCCCTCAGACATGGTGAGCTCTGCTGAAGACGGATTCATTTTCCTCACCACACGCGCCACCTCAGAGACACTGGACTGACTGCTGCCTTACCAGCGCTGCTTAAAAGATTAAAAACAAACAGCATGACAGAAATATATCATGTGCTGTTGAACCAGTCCGACTGAGAATATATGGATGGACATGAAATAGGCTGTCCACTCAATTCAACAGAGTTTTAAGATTGGGAAAGGAATTGCTGCAGCTATATGGAAAGGTGTAAGAGATATTTTACACAGACTCGAGGCTGTGACTTAAAGTGTGAGAATACGTTTGGATTTAGAACCGATCATGTAGTGCAGTAAGACAAGTTTTTTTTTTTCTTCAAAACAAAAATATAATGAATATAGTGATGACGTCATTACGCCGGATCTGGGTCAACGCCGCCACACGCTCGCGGCATGATACTGTCGTGAACGCGTGATATATGGATGGACATGAAATAGGCTGTCCACTCAATTCAACAGAGTTTTAAGATTGGGAAAGGAATTGCTGCAGCTATATGGAAAGGTGTAAGAGATATTTTACACAGACTCGAGGCTGTGACTTAAAGTGTGAGAATACGTTTGGATTTAGAACCGATCATGTAGTGCAGTAAGACCAGTTTTTTTTTTCTTCAAAACAAAAATATAATGAATATAGTGATGACGTCATTACGCCGGATCTGGGTCAACGCCGCCACACGCTCGCGGCATGATACTGTCGTGAACGCGTGTCCACAAGTGACACAGTAGAGATGAAAATGTGGAATAAAGTCGTTATTTTTGTTTTCTTTGCGCAAAAAAGTATTCTCGTAGCTTCGTAACTTTACAGTTGAACCACTGACGTCACACGGACTACTTTGTCGATCATCTTGGTACTTTTCTGGACCTTGAAAGTGGTAGTTACCTTGCTGTCTATGGGAGGGTCAGAGAGCCCTCAGATTTCATCAAAAATATCTTAAATTGTGTTCCGAAGATGAACGGAGGTCTTACGGGTTTCTAACAACACGAGGGTTTTTGAAACATTTTTGGGTGAACTAACCCTTTAAAGAAAAAACACTTGAGACATAATTAGAAAATAAAAGGCTGCTTTTAATCGAAACCCATTTCAAAAGGCTTTCAAACTGAAAACACACTCGATTATACGTAATCAGGGATTGAAATTAACTTTTTCACTCACCAGCCAATTTGGCTACCCTTTGACATTTAATCAGTCAATTATAATAATAATACATTTATGCTGATACTAAACAAATGAAATCAGTATCAACAAAATTTATCTTTGCAGAAGTTCCATACGAAGTGGCATTTAGATGCATTTACACATGTTATTGCAGCTTAGAGGGACATGGAATGCTTTAACCTGCAGTAACAAATGCATGAATAATGTTTTGATATTTTAAACATGAAATTTTGAATACTGACATTTTTTTGATATTTTAAACATGAAATTTTGAATACTGATATTTGAAATAATTAAAAAAATGAAAAGATGCATTAGATGTAAAATTAAAACAATTAAAACCTCCAGTAGGCAGCAGCAAGTCACTGTCAAGTGAGTCATTGCGGCTGATCCGAATCATTTAAACGGTTGATTCATTCAGGAACAAAACACTCTCATGTTGCTCAGAGACACAAAACAGTGCTGTGGCTGTGTTTGGAATTTATTTTTGTTGGCGAAATAGAGCAAAAGCACGCATGGTGTCTAAAACGTAAGTCTCTTGATATTAACTTATTGTTTATCCCCCAAACTCAAACGTCAAGCTACGCCTAATGTAACCATGCTGATTTTTTATTTAAAACGGCACTCTTCGTGTGATATTGATTAACTATATGAAATTATATAACTATATACATTTTCTGCCCCCTTATCTTGAATTATGTGATCATTCTTAATGCATATTAATAGACTGAATCATGCACTGAAAGAACGCACTCTAAATGCCTACGTGCACTAAGTTAATGTACGTTAGTTACTTATGCGGATGCATGCACTCTGTAGGTGTGTTTTGTTTGGTGTTTGCAATATTCTCGATAATGTAATGAGTTCAGTATTTGCGCTAAACCTGCACAGATTTGGCTTGCACGAACTTCCCCAAGAAATTAATGAGTGAAAATAACTTACAAAAAGTAACCCGTCAAATTGGCTAGTGATTTGACAGCGTTACCCACCACAGCTGATTTTTACCCACATTTGGCGGGTTGGCGGGTGTTAATTTAAAACCCTGATTATCACCAATCACAATCAGTGACGTAATACATCAATCTCTGTAAAAACATTTCTATATTACCCCTTCTTGGTGGCACGCTAAGTTTTCTGTACTGCAAAAAAGCATAAATAGGAGACATCATGATTCAAAGAAAGAAAATAAACTACAACAGGAAAAATAGAAAAGTACAGGTAAAAATGTTAAACATGATTTAAAAGTTTGCCATTTTTTCAATGCTAAATAATTTTATTATGCAGTACTAAACCACAAGCAAGCTACTTTTACTAGTAAAATAGTTGACTATTAAAATAATTATTTATATAATTTTAATAGTCAACTATTTTACTACCATTTTACAATATTTTTTAAATATAAAATGTTGTAATTCCATTTGGTGCCAACAGTATTTGGGAAACCTGGGGGGGGGTATTGGAGTGGTGTAGAAATTACATGCTTTACCTTCAGGATTATTAAACATTAATAATCAAAGTTACAGCAAACAAATACAACCACAGGCATTGAGGGGTTTTTTTAGTCCCTAGTTTTTAAAGGAACACTCCACTATTTTTAAAAATAGGCTAATTTTCCAACTCCCCTAGAGTTAAACAGTTGAGTTTTACCGTTTTCGAATCCATTCAGCCGATCTCCGGGTCTGGCAGTAGCACTAAGGGAAGTACTCAGAGCATCTGCACGTTGGAGATGGAGGTGAGTCCCACACTCTCTCGCTCAGTCGGAACCAGTGGTCTACAGCTGGAAACTCCGACGGTTCTCCTGTCCACGGGAAGAGCGGGGGCTGGTAACTGAGTATGCACTGAAACGGCGTGAGGCCGGTAGTGGTCTGTCTCAGGGAATTCTGTGCATACTCGGCCCAAGGGAGGAAACGGCTCCAACGGTGTTGGTCGTCGTGACAGTATGCCCGGAGGTAACACCCGAGTTCTTGGATCTTTCGCTCAGTCTGGCCGTTTGTCTGGGGATGGTAGCCTGAGGAATTTGAAATAATTAAAAAAATGAAAAGATACATTAGATGTAAAATTAAAACAATTAAAACTGCCAGTAGGCGGCAGCAAGTCACTGTTAATAAGTGAGTCATTGCGGCTGATCCGAATAATTTAAACGGTAGATTCATTCAGGAACAAAACACTCTCATGTTGCTCAGAGACACAAAACAGTGCTGTGGCTGTGTTTGGAATTTATTTTTGTTGGCGAAATAGAGCAAAAGCACGCATGGTGTCTAAAACGTAAGTCTCTTGATATTAACTTATTGTTTATTGAACTGTTGTATAAAATCAATTCACAAATCACATTTGTAACCATGCTGATTTTTTATTTAAAACAGCACTCTTCGTGTGATATTGATTAACTATATGAAATTATATAACTATATACATTTTCTGCCCCCTTATCTTGAATTATGTGATCATTCTTAATGCATATTAATAGACTGAATCATGCACTGAAAGAACGCACTCTAAATGCCTACGTGCACTAAGTTAATGTACGTTAGTTACTTATGCGGATGCATGCACTCTGTAGGTGTGTTTTGTTTGGTGTTTGCAATATTCTCGATAATGTAATGAGTTCAGTATTTGCGCTAAACCTGCACAGATTTGGCTTGCACGAACTTCCCCAAGAAATTAATGAGTGAACATAACTTACAAAAAGTAACCCGCCATATTGGCTAGTGATTTGACAGCGTTACCCACCACAGCTGATTTTTACCCGCATTTGGCGGGTTGGCGAGTGTTAATTTCAAACCCTGTACATAATTAAACAAAATAATTAAATAAAGACGCCAAAACAAAGATTAATGATAACATCAAATGTTCAAATTCTGTTTATTCAAATATTACTTTCATAATTCATATGTCATACTTCATTTAAAATGGTACGAAATTTAACACAAGAATCACTGCACAGCTACACTAAGGGCTGACAAAAAAAAAATAAACTGAATTAATAATACCAGACAGCATCTGCAGTAACTACAATGATCTATTTACAGTGCTTCACTCTGTGACATTCCTTCGGCCATGCTTGTAAATCTGCTTCAAATGAAATACAATCTGGCGCACTGCAAGATTTTAGTGTACCTCAGGTGAAGCTTCCAGAACACTGATGTACCATATTTAAAGGAACAGAAGTAAATACTATTATTAAAAGGCTAATAGAAATCTCAACAGGCCAACCTGATTTTAGAGCTGCACAAAGCAATCTATGTGAAAGCACATCCCTCACACACGAGGAAACGTTGCTTCCTGTCAAACCTCAAGAAACTGTAGTGATGGTTGTTTGACACCTCAGTTAAAGCTGTAAAAGTGCTTGTGGTGGAAAAAAAAGAGAATCAAGATAAAAGCAAAACGCTGCTCCTTTTAGTGACTTTGCAGACACAGAATGACATGAAACAACAAAACAGTTTAGGCAGGAAAATATGAGGCTTTCAGATGATTGGATGGCCAAGGACATAAGAAATTAAAACCAGAATGGTTTTGGCTATTTCCAGCCATTATTCACGCAGACACTGGTACATGTGTTTCACATTCAGTCTCTTCATCTACACCACACACGCATACCTTGTTCAAAAACAGCTTGGGTCAGGCAGGCGGTTCCTTCAGTGACATCTGGGTTTGGTACAGGTCTGTGGCACGTTCAGCAGGTTTCAGCAGGATGTGTTTATACAGCATTATTGATTGACAGTCTCTCACTGTCACGGCAAAGATGCACTTTTGACTGCGTTCATCTTGTTCACATCAGAGTCGGGGTCATCGGGTTGAGTATCGGCCCGGTGAAAAGAGGCAGGTCCTTTCCTCGGTTCTGGGTTTATCCAACACCATCACAGGCCTGAGGACTGAGCCGTGTAATAGGGGTTGTTAACCTGGAAGAGCAGAGATGATATTCATAAGTACAGTCGAAAAAAGATAAACAGTAGTAAAGGTTACATTTGTTCACAGACTGGCTGAGAGGCACCAACTCACTGTAAAACACAGAAGGCAAATTGACAAGAGGCCCCTGTCACCACAATATAAGCCCAAGACACACCTACATCCTAGAGAGCCTGTCGGCACAAATATAAAGATAGATTTAGATCTAGCTGCATTGTACATCAACCCAAGAGGTTGTATTTACCATAGGATACAAATATCCAGTAGGTAAATATTCATTCAAGTATTTAATAAAGGTTGTGGCTTCTAGGATATACCGCAGAAGTATGTGAGGATTCCAATAGTCAAATGAGCACTTATGGAAAGAGATTAGCTGGGAATTAATGAGTTTCTGCTCAGACGCTACTGTACGACTCCCAGCATGGCAGATGATTCCCCTTCTGAAGCTGTGAGGTCAATCTTTAACAGAGGTGTTACAGGCCTTCGGGTCAAATGAATGCAAAAAGAGATTATGCTGTAAACCGTTACAAAGAGCACAGGAAATTCATTAAAGTGCCCCTATTATGGGTTATGAAAGGTTCATGTTTTGGGAGTCCCCAACAACAGGTTGACATGCAAGGTCAAAAAACACTTTCATTGTCTTAAAATATGCATTTATTTTTACCTTACTTGTTTAACGACTCCCAAACGATTCCTTTAACGATTCAGTTTTCCAAACCCCTCCTTTGCGTGAAGCTAATCTGCGGTGATTGGTCTCATTTTCATTTCAACATGCCTGTAATGCCCGATAAAGCAGGTTTGTGAGCGCAGTGCTACTTTGTGTACAGCGTTACCGGGGGAAACAGCTATTTTTACCACTCCAAAAGCCCGCACCTAGTGGCAAAGAATGAATTAGCATTTTCATTCAGACCAAAGCGAAAAGACCAACAAGTGGGCGGGCAATATGCTAATGCTTCATGTTGACGTCAACATAAAACGGCTTGGGATTCGTTTTAAAAACGACTCCTTTCAATGATTCAGAGTCGACTCTTTCTTTTGAGAGATAACTTTATGCACGGCGCACTTTCAGATTTAAAACTTTGCAATATGTTTTCATTCCCTTAGAGCTGTTACACACTGCATGAAAGGTAATTTTCAAAAATCCATAATTGGGGCATTTTAAAAACAAACAAAAGAAAAGTGCAAAGTAGCTTTGGTTTTAGCTCGAATGAAGAGAGGGTTGGGGCTGTGTGTTTTCTTTCGCAGCTTCACTCAGTGTAGGGTTTCTCTCAGTTTTGTACTTTTGTAATTGTGTCATTTTTCAGATTATACTTTTGTATAGATTTCTGTATTTATTTTGAGTCAAGAAAAATCTCAGCTCATTTTAATTTGACAGAAAAAATCAGATTCTAAGACAAAAAGCCTTGCATGAAATGTCCTATTTTTTATTTTCATCATGCCGGACTTTATTATAAGTGTTTTAGATACCAATTGAAATCCTTTCATTAAACATTAGTAGTTGAAACTGGAGTGAATTTAAGACATGTTTTGGAATGCAAGGACTGCATTGCACATTTTCAATACGTCTAGTTGAAAGTTATTTCTGTATGTGGTCAAATGAGGAATAAGACAGCTCTATGTATGTAGCACTACAACAAAGTTGGCTGGGAACAAGTCTGTTTGTGTTCCCGCTCCTGCTTTCTTCAGAAATCATTTGAAGGCCTACTGAACATATTTTAGCCTCTAAGCCAGTGGTCACCAACCTTTTAAGGCCCAAGATCCCTGACCTCGGCCTTTATGAAAGACAAGATCTACCTATTGAAGAATTGATAGAAAAAGACATCCCAGAATGTACTTCAAATTTGAGGCCTTTTACTTAGTATTTTAATTAGTGATGCGCCGATCATAGCTGATTCAGAATTCAGATTTTCTTTTCTTGCTTTTTTTTTTTAACTAGCAAATTGGATTCTGATACTGATTTTTAAGCAAATGTATTTATTGGCTATTTGCTTTATAACAAACAAACTGGCTTTAAACAAAAATATCTAGCCATTTGAAATGAGAGGCAACCACTGCATTTTAATCATGATCTGCACGGGCAGTTGTTTTTGATTTGATTTAGATTAATTTCAGGATTTAAAACAAAAACAGAATGGTCTGACTTTAGGTGTTATTTATTTATTTGCTACATAAAACATCTGCACGAAACAAAAACAGCAGGTCTGAATGAGACTCACTCTCTGACAGCAGGTGGCTCCTATGAACAGGGTTGCCAGGTTTTCGCAAAAAAACTAGTCCAATCGCGTTACGAGGAGGGTTCCCCTGTAAAAAAAAAAATAAAATATAAAAAATAAAAATAAATAAATAACGCCGCCCAAATGTTCACGCAAAGAAAGAAGGCGTAACTTTTATTCAGAGCACACCTCGCTTTTAAGACCGATGAGCTTTGTAAAAATCGACGCGTTTCAAAAAGGCGGGGCATAGAGGAGAAACAATAATGTACAGTATGTGGAAAATAATGTGTTTTTTGAACTTTAAACCGCATAAACACATTTCATTACACCAAATACACAAAATAATGTTCTTTTTAGCAGCATCATATGACCCCTTTAAATAGCCCAATTCCACGGGAAAACCGCGGACTTGGCAACACTGCTTATGAACCGGCCGCACTATAGCGTTTCCTTGGTTACCCCTGTAAACAAAGCAGAGCTGCGTTTTATACGGGAAGAAAATGCCATTGCCATCGAAACTTTTCTCAAGACAGTACCCTTCAGTGATACATTAATATAACCCCATAAATGTAATGCATTTTTGTACTTATTTTACTGTTTTTTTCGGGATCTACTGGGACAGTGATAAAGATCTACCAGTTGATCGCGCTCGACGGGTTGGCGACCACTGCTCTAAGCCTATCAACACACGAGGGACTATTGCTGTTGCCTACTTATAATCTATATGCAAACCTGATATCCATACAAAAATAACAGTAATACAGTTATTTACAATATTTTATAATGCAATTACAAGATCTTTGTATTTTGACTACATAATCCAAATTACATACTGTAGCCCATTACTACCCAACAACGCCTGTAGTATAGAGGTGATAGTCCAAAATGTAAAAAAAAAAGGGGGCCTTTTAATGCTTTATGGAAAGTTGACTGGGTTATTTGAGGTGACTGCGGCTGGACTTTCCATGGCACTGCATCTGTTCATATAGGCAAAGAGAGAAAGCTGAGTGCAATTGGCATTAAAAGCTTACACATTCTGCCATTTCCCCTCCTGCCCGTTAACTTCCTGGGTAATAAAAGAATGACAGGAAATACTTAAGCAAGGGAGTCCAGGAGTGAATCCAAGGCTAAGACAAGTAGACCAAAAACACATACTATTCTAGCAAAAAATAAAGTCAGACACGTTAAGAGAAAATGGGTTCATCCATTAAAGTTACATACACATTCATTCATAAAAGGACTATGAATGTTCCCCAAAGACAAGAATCTCTACAAAGTCTCCAATGTCACAGTTTCCAGAACTAATAAAAATACAAGAGTCCAAATGAGTCATCAAGTAAAACTTTAAAGCTTTTGGTTTCAACAGAAGCAACATGTGGAATATTCCCTGTTGGTGTACATTTCTAAGGGATCCTAAGTTTGATTAACGATACAAATGTTTTTCTGTACAAACCCACCCTGAAGACGACCATCTGATCTAAAGTTTGATTTTCGACATTTAAGGCTGGAATACACTATACTATTTTAGCCCAGACTTTCCGCCGATTTACTGTGTGGAGAAGTTGACGCTAGTTGCTGAAAATCAGAGTCGGTCTGCAGATTTGAGTTGATAGATGTTATAGAACATCGTGTAGAGTATGATGGTCACAGACTCTGATTATTTTAGATTCAGACTATGATCCTCCAGTCGGGGGGAATAAGAAACATGCTTGATATTTTGAGCCTATTTTATAACACAATGTTTGTCACGCATATTCTAGCAACAATGCGTACATATCCGTGTGAGCTTGTTGTGATCGGAACAACTTTAAAGTCTGGTAGTGTATGATCGTTTAATATATAATGGCTAGTTTTCCTCTGCGACTATTACAAATTCGGTGAGTATGATGCCAAGTGTTTTGAAGTCTGTTCAAATTTTAAAAGTCATGTAGTGTATTCCAGCCTTTACTCACACAGGAAGAGCGCAGGGATATAAACAAGAATCAGACATACCTATTAAAGCTTGCTTTTTTGTTTGCGATAACATACTAAAGTACAAGTACAAAATGTTTTTCATGCAAATGAAATAAACACACAGCTTGCAGGAAAAAAAATAATTCTAATTAAGTCTGTGTGCCTGCACTCTTGCTCAGCGAACACAAATACAGTGCGCCATGCACCTGGCGCGAGAAAGACCATCCATTTAACGCATCAGTGGCATGATCGATTCTTCATAGCTGCCTCACCTTTGTGCCTTCCTTCCCACTTTCATTTACTTTAATCCAGTGCCCTTTAAACCCAGGAACAAAACAGAAGGACCAAAACAACATCTAAAATATAGAAGGGAAAAAACATATATGACCATACAGTGAGGAACATAATTTAGTTTTTTAGACGGCACCTCTACCCTTAGGGTCTTATAGTTTAGTGTGTAATGATCTGTGTGCCGAATCTGAAATAAAATAAAATAATTAAAGGTGTGGAGTTGAAGATTACAGAAGTGAGTAGGCGGTTCTTTGCTGTCTTAGAGGCATTAAAGGGGTCATGAACTGAGAAATCAAAATTCCCTTGTCAAAATTCCCGGTCATTTGTTCACTTCATTTTTTACCACAGATTCTTTTACAAACAAAGCACAGTTCGAAGTGGGATTTTCAGAAAGAGTCAAACTAAAAGACTATACTGTGCCGACTACATTGGTATACACACAAATGTGAGTAACTGCTTTTATTACGTGTTCACTATTGATTTGTCTGTTATTACAGATCGTTTGATATCTACTGAGTATTTAAGTGTTAGCCAATCATAGCAGTGGGCGTTTACATTCGAGTCTACAATCCGCCACGCCTATTCAAACAGAGTGTTCTGATGAAGGGGGTTTAAAACAAGACAGAAAATAGCCTATCACTTCCAAAATATGTTTTTTGATGTAAAAATCTTGATAACATTATAACGCGATCAGACCAATCCTAATGCAGAATCCACCATTTTGTCCAACAAACAAATCAGACAGGAGAGTAGATGAACTTCGGTGGACTTAAACTTGAAAAATGGTGTGTATTAATGTCTTTCTGCGGTTGAAATAAAATATGTTCTGATGTTTATTCATGTTCATTTCAAGTAAATATGAAAAGACGATCGGTCACATCTGCCGCTTGAACTGAGGCTCTACAGTGATCTGTCATGACACAAAGAGCCACAAAATGGTATTTATTTTTTGAATTTCTTTAAAAAAAAAAAAATATTTGTTGTTAGTTTCCTCTTTCCCCCACAATGTATTTTTTACTGCGTGAAAACCATGTGTGCAGTGTGAGAGCGGCATAGCTTGTCGGACATAGCATCAGTAGCTAAGGAGGGTGGGTTTTTGCGAAGGGTCAATTAGTCACCCTCATGTTGTTCCAAACCCGTAAGACCTTCGTTCATCTTTGGAACACAAATTAAGATATTTTTGATGAGATCCAAGAGGTTTCTGAACCTGCATTGACAGAAAAGCAACTACCACTTTCAAGGCCCAGAAACGTAATAAGGACATTGTTAAAATAGTCCATATGACATCATTGGTTCAACCGTAATGTTACGAAGCTATGAGAATACTTTTTGTGCACAAAGAAAACAAAAATAATTATTTTATTCAATAAATTTCTTCTTCAGTATTCGACACACATTTACAACAGTACCACGATGCATGCATGTGGTGCTGCTGATGTAAGAGCTGGCGTTCTGATGTAGAACACGCATGCGCTGCACCTTGTTTACAAGCAAAAAAATGCACACACATGCGTCATGGTACTCTTGTGAACGTGCCTCGAAGTCTCACATGGAAGAGAAGAAATTGTTGAAAAAGGTGTTATTTTTTTGCTTTCTTTGTGCACAAAGTATTCTCGTAGCTTCATAAAATTACAGTTGAACCACTGATGCCACATGGACTATTTTAATGATGTCCTTACTACATTTGTGGGCCTTGAACTCTTTAGTTGCGATGCTGTGTATGCTTGCTCAGAAAGCTCATGGATTTCATCAAAAATATCTTAATTTGTATTCCGAAGATGAATTATCTTATGGGTTTGGTACGAGGGTGGGTAATTAATAAGATAATTTTCATTTTTGAGTGAACTATCGCTTTAAGATTAGCATTTACACTACATATGTGATGTGATCATGCACATTTCTGAATGTAGTTTGAGTAATCGGACTACAAAACATTTTAGACCCACTTGCAATCAGATCAACCAAGATCAATGTGGACACCAAATCACAACAAGAACAATGCCCACATGGTGGTAGCTCAATTCCATGCCTAGTAGGACTTGAACCTAACCTTATTGGTTACCAGCCTGTATCTTTAACAAAGGGGTAACACCAACCACCTAGAATGAAGCTGTAGATGAATGCCATGTGTATGTGCATGCTGTGAGAACAGTGCAAAACTAAGAGCTCAGGAATGACAGGATGAAAATCAACTAAATAATGAGTGCAGCCCAGATGGGTCCAATTAATGCATGGATATGGTCTGCTATTAGCTGTGACAAATCCATTTATTAGGATCTGAGCAGTTTGCTTGGATTCAACACTGGTAACAAAGGTAACAATTTTAAATTGAAAACAATGTTCTCCACGTTGAAGAAAAAACATGTTAAATGACACATGTTTATAATAGTAATATGAGATTCTGCAATGCCAGACGACTACAACTATAATTTTCTAATCTTCTCTTCTCATATTCCAGAGCAACTCGCTGTTTTTTTTGTTTCTATGTTTCCTTAAATATATCACCCTATCCCACATAAGTAGCTGAAGAGTAATCTTAAGAAATAAAATGTGATGTGTTCCTTTGAGATGGAGCAAGCGGCAGCACAGCACGCAGACAGCTTAGTTTCTCACGGCTGAGGCCTCTTTCAGTCTGAAGGGAAAGACTTTCCTCCACCCATACTTTGGGTCAACAGTTAAAAATAAGTCTCTAAGAATCTCTTTTCCACAAGCCAAATGCAATCCATTTCAAAACAAAAAAGGACCTCATTAAGGCCTAAAAAAAGTGAATATTTTTATATACCGGCTTCACCAAAAATAAATCTGTGCTAAAGGCTGCATTTAAAGAACAGGTCATACAGGGAAACTAGTTTAAAGAATTTGCATATAATTGCTTCTAAAATTGGTCACTAGCTGTACATTTCAATCACCTTCAGGATTAAGAAAATCTTTTGCATGTTTGATCTTAACTTTCCTAAACTAAACGTTAAGGTCATTACAGACAGTGTCAGATTATTGTATTTGTATTATTATTTTTCCTATTTCTTATGTAGTAGGACTGTATACTAAAACTGTTTTGTCTATAATCGGCAAAGAAGCAATCAAGAATTTAACTGTAGTTGTAAATAATAATAATTAAAAGCCGACTTGGCTTGAAATGCAAAAGCAGACAGTACAAACAGAAATAAAGAAGGCTTCATGCATTTTCTCCAATGGAAATGACAGTGACACTGTCTTTAGCCATCTGAAAATCAGAAGATGCAACATGGTCCCTGGATGAGGTGCCACTGTTGACGCGCGACTGTGTTACAGAGCGGTATCTGGTTCTCTGTAAAAGTGTATGTGTACACACACGGTGTAACATCCTTTATCCTCAATGGACAATTGTATTGTGGTAAAGCACTGAATACTCACCCGCGTGTCATACTCCAGGACAAAAGGAGGGATGTCAATCTGCTCAGGTAGGATGCAGGTGAAGAGCTGCTGTAGGTTCTCTATGTGATGGACCTTCTCTTTAAGGCCTGATACACTGAACGTCGTGAAGAACCAAGTAGAGACCTGACAGGAATCACAAACAAAACCATTTGATTGACTGAGATGCTATTTTCCATGAAAAGGGTACAAGAATAGTTGTTGAAACACAATAGAATTTATTTTATTTTTTATTTTTTAACAAATGGTAACAAATAAAAGCTGTGCTTAACCAGCAGAAAAGGTTAATTGTCAAACTTATATGAGCGGTATATACATGGGTTTGGGACACGTCTGAAAATGTTGGGAGAGAGCTTTATATAAAAAATATAATTAATAATTCTTTGATGAATTCTGTATTCATTGATTCGTTGAAGAATAGAAAGTTTAGAGAGGAAAAACAATTGTTCAAAATATAAATCTTTTGTGACATTATAAATATAATTTATAATCATTTAAATGATTATCTCACATTATAAATGAACTCAAATGTAACTCTATAGGAAAACAGCATAGACTTCTACACAATTTTAAGGTCAATTTAATAAATAACAGATAGCTACAAAATTGGTGAAGCTGTAACTGAATTAAATGTTTGGTTGCTAAAGGCAAACTCGTTGCTCCTAAAGCTGTTGCTGGAGTCATTTTCAGCATTTACTCCAATGACTCAGCCCTAATGCTTGAACACGTTTCACACCTGGGATTGTTACAATGCTCGAGCATTCTCTGGCTGAAAAGGACGCATTTTAAAACGAACAATTATCTGACTCGCTGTTTTTTTTGTTTCTATGTTTCCTTAAATATATCACCCTATCCCACATAAGTAGCTGAAGAGTAATCTTAAGAAATAAAATGTGATGTGTTCCTTTGAGATGGAGCAAGCGGCAGCACAGCACGCAGACAGCTTAGTTTCTCACGGCTGAGGCCTCTTTCAGTCTGAAGGGAAAGACTTTCCTCCACCCATACTTTGGGTCAACAGTTAAAAATAAGTCTCTAAGAATCTCTTTTCCACAAGCCAAATGCAATCCATTTCAAAACAAAAAAGGACCTCATTAAGGCCTAAAAAAAGTGAATATTTTTATATACCGGCTTCACCAAAAATAAATCTTTGCTAAAGGCTGCATTTAAAGAACAGGTCATACAGGGAAACTAGTTTAAAGAATTTGCATATAATTGCTTCTAAAATTGGTCACTAGCTGTACATTTCAATCACCTTCAGGATTAAGAAAATCTTTTGCATGTTTGATCTTAACTTTCCTAAACTAAACGTTAAGGTCATTACAGACAGTGTCAGATTATTGTATTTGTATTATTATTTTTCCTATTTCTTATGTAGTAGGACTGTATACTAAAACTGTTTTGTCTATAATCGGCAAAGAAGCAATCAAGAATTTAACTGTAGTTGTAAATAATAATAATTAAAAGCCGACTTGGCTTGAAATGCAAAAGCAGACAGTACAAACAGAAATAAAGAAGGCTTCATGCATTTTCTCCAATGGAAATGACAGTGACACTGTCTTTAGCCATCTGAAAATCAGAAGATGCAACATGGTGTTACAGAGCGGTATCTGGTTCTCTGTAAAAGTGTATGTGTACACACACGGTGTAACATCCTTTATCCTCAATGGACAATTGTATTGTGGTAAAGCACTGAATACTCACCCGCGTGTCATACTCCAGGACAAAAGGAGGGATGTCAATCTGCTCAGGTAGGATGCAGGTGAAGAGCTGCTGTAGGTTCTCTATGTGATGGACCTTCTCTTTAAGGCCTGATACACTGAACGTCGTGAAGAACCAAGTAGAGACCTGACAGGAATCACAAACAAAACCATTTGATTGACTGAGATGCTATTTTCCATGAAAAGGGTACAAGAATAGTTGTTGAAACACAATAGAATTTATTTTATTTTTTATTTTTTAACAAATGGTAACAAATAAAAGCTGTGCTTAACCAGCAGAAAAGGTTAATTGTCAAACTTATATGAGCGGTATATACATGGGTTTGGGACACGTCTGAAAATGTTGGGAGAGAGCTTTATATAAAAAATATAATTAATAATTCTTTGATGAATTCTGTATTCATTGATTCGTTGAAGAATAGAAAGTTTAGAGAGGAAAAACAATTGTTCAAAATATAAATCTTTTGTGACATTATAAATATAATTTATAATCATTTGTTCACCTCACATTATAAATGAACTCAAATGTAACTCTATAGGAAAACAGCATAGACTTCTACACAATTTTAAGGTCAATTTAATAAATAACAGATAGCTACAAAATTGGTGAAGCTGTAACTGAATTAAATGTTTGGTTGCTAAAGGCAAACTTGTTGCTCCTAAAGCTGTTGCTGGAGTCATTTTCAGCATTTACTCCAATGACTCAGCCCTAATGCTTGAACACGTTTCACACCTGGGATTGTTACAATGCTCGAGCATTCTCTGGCTGAAAAGGACGCATTTTAAAACGAACAATTATCTGACACTTAATTGCCGGGGTTCCTCTACATTTGGAGTGCACAAAGCATAATTGTTGAATAATTTCGCAAATTAAAGCAAAGCCTGGCAGAGGCAACACGCTCTCATAAGCACTTCAATTACCTGAATAGGTTCTGTGGAACAGTACGGAACACTTAGTGCAGACACATCATGAATCTCAATGCGGTCTCAGAGACGCTTTTCAACATATTCAGTTACACAGACTCATACACAGTCTTTCTTAGTCAAAGTGGAACATGTGGAGCTGACCGCTGTGAATCAGACCATAGGCCCGTACAAACTCAGAAAGAAAAGCTCAAAACGAGATGAACATCTAGTGTTGCCTTTAATGGACTTACATCTGAGTTGATGAACCGAGTACATTTACCTTGGAGCGGAACGTCGGGTGAATGAAGTAGAAAGCCCTCAGGTTTTTCTTAAACCTGAAAACACAGAAGGAAAACCTTGCGAGAAATGGTTTTTGAAACATTATCAACACATCCAACCAATTACTTATTACACAAATAGTCAACTTGGCTTTGAAAGGATTATTGCCTTAACAAAAACAATAAACACATTAGAAAGGGAGCTAAAGCGCATTTTTTAAGAACGAGCAAAAGTCAGTGAATCGAGTCCAACGGGGCAGCCACGTCCAAGCCACACGCTGTTGTCCAAAACACACAGATGGATAGAGATCTGGACAGCCAGAAGTGGAGGGGTGTTCGAAAAGCACAAGGGACGTGTATGTCAACCTTTCCCCTTTCCCACGATGGACTTGGACCGTCCTGTCCAAACCCATGAGCAGGGGTCATAGGGAGTGATAGCGTCACTGGCTAACTCTGCTATAAACATGGCTGTGATTGCTAACAGAACCATTACAGAACCTCATCACTCTCGCTGAGGATTATGTCTGTAAAACGCTTTCTTATAGACCCATGCCTTTTGAGAATAAATAATACAATGATGATATGCTGTGCTCTGCTGATACCTCATAATAAATGACACGAGTCTAACTGGCCTGGCTCTCAAAGTTATGAGTCACGCTGATCTCCACGATGTGTGGAAAGTGTGAGGGACTGGAGCTGGAGAGCGTTTCTGCTTTTTTATTTCAAGACTGTGGTTTCCTCTGCCTGCATGCTGAGAGTGTCCCCTGAATAAATGACGAATGCCTGACCTCACGATCACCTCCCCCGGTTTTGACTTTCGAACAAGGACTCAAACTCTTCTGCTAAGCCAGGAAAATAGCAATTATGAGCACTGCTCGATTAAAAGAATTAAAACAATATTTTTCTTAAAATGCAATTACAATGCCATTCCATGGAGCTATATCTATGCAGCAGTCTAATTTTTCACATTTGCATTTATAGTGTAGTAAATATTTAACAATACAATCTTTTAAAAAGAAAAAAACGTCAAATCAAAAGTTTCTGATTCAAATGCAAATCTCAAATAGAACTTTTAATGTAAATATAAATCTAAAAGGTCTACATCTAAATGGAAATCTTGAGAACAACATCCTTTTAAAACACATTCTTTTCAAAATTAGGTTAACCTAAATTTAACCATTAAGTTAACCTTGGTTAGGCAGCATTTAGTGCTAAATCTGACAAAATGTATGTAAAATTTGGTGCAAAATAAGATGGAACTGTAATAAAATGGACTGTCAGAACACATAACAAATGGAAGTATGAACATTTTCTCATTTACCTTCTCCATATCAATAAGTGTAACTGGAATATTCCTGCCAACAACAACCATGACCGTCCTACCACACAAATCGACACCTGAAAATGAGAAAAAAAAAGCTTTGTGATAGGACTATATTATGGAAGAAAGTTTCCTCACACCCACTGCTGACAGCATTCTCACATGCAGCATATCTCAAGAAACACATTAGACATTTCAGCCTCACCCTGTTGAATGCAGAAATGAGTTATGTATACATATTAAAATACATGTTTTGCTCTATATCATAAGAAACATCTGCATGTGCATAGCCAGATGTCTTCATATAGTCCATCATCACGTGGCATAGCGAATTTACATGTTGAGGTGCACAGCTGGAGAAAGTCTGCCCCCCTTTGGTCAAGTGAGTTCTTGTGATTCAGATACTCCGTTTTTTGAAAAGTACTGCCTGTTCTGTGGCTTTCTGAAATATGATTAAAAGTAGAAATTCAAGATGAAATTTAGCAGGACTAACAGCTTCTGGCAAACCTAATGTGTACAGTCTGTGGTAAAATGTCATTGAGGTTTTGAACTCAGTAGGTCAGCCTGGACAGTATATGAGCTAAGAAACAAAAAAAGATGATGATAAATACTTAACAACACCGAAACCGTTACTTTGGTGGTTATTTTTTGTCCTGAAATTGTGAAACGAGAGAAATGGATTACAGAACCCCCTGATGTTGAGCTCAATGAGGCGGAACAAAGGTTTCCTGCCCAGAGAGCAAACACACAGATGGAGAGAACACAAAGTCCACATGTGCATAAAGATATACAGAGAGACAGCAACACAAAGAGAACGAGTGAACGTGCTGGAGAACATGAGTGAGATAAAAGAGGCAAACATCAGACCATATCATACTACTACAATAAAGTCGACATACATGAACTAGGGCTGAAAAACTATTTAATATTTTAATCAAATTAATTGATATGCCAATTAATTAAATTATTCATGAGTGTTTCATTTTAAGACTGTTAAAAGTACTTGATTGGAAAAGAACTTGATTAAATAAGTTTAATAATTAATTGTTCTAAAGTATTGTGTTAAATTTACAGCCTTAAAATTAAAACATTTGAAATACAATTAATTTACATAAAACAATTAAAATACATTAATACCCATAAAGACAAAGACTGACCGGTCTGATATAGTGCTTTTAACGCTGCTATGTCTGAAAGGTCCTCTGCTCGAGCTCTGCAAAGCCAGCGGTTATAGCTGTGAAGAAAGACAACAAGAACTAAAACTTCACCACTAAGCAATTTGCAGTGATGTAAAGAATTTGATACATACATACATACATACATGCAAACAAACAAATCCGCACTCAATAATGATGACTATGAATTAGATCATGGCCAAAAGATGCCATTGGTTATGCTAAGTTTCACCAAAGGACTGTAACAGGACTGTAAAATCGTGGTGACTCATTAAAAAAAAATGAAAACATAATAACAGGAAGGTTTTGAAACTTCTTACTAGGGGTGGGCAGTATAATCAAACTCATATTTGAGCAATTTAGAAATTCATGCAAAGTTTTAGATAATTCAGTCAGTGTATTAAATACAAATTAAATGGTACCTTATCTCTTCATCTATTATATATGTTACATATCATATATTATACACATACTCATATGTATGCATGTGTATATATTATATATATATATATATATATATATATATATATATATATATACACAATGGTAATTTTTGCATATTTGTCACACTTAAAAGATTCAGATCATCAAACTAATTTTAATATTACACAAAGATAATGCAAGTAAATACAAAATGCAGTTTTTAAATGATTATTTATTTTATTAAGGGAAAAAAGCGGTCCAAACCTGCCTGGCCCTACGTGAAAAAGTATAATTGCAGTTCTTTCATGATTTAACAGGAGGGGGCAATTCATTTGCCACGTAGGTTTGGACATCTTTTTTCCCTTAATAAATGAAATCATCATTTAAAAACTGCATTTTGTATTTACTTGCATTATCTTTGTGTAATATTTAAATTTGTTTGATGATCTGAAACATTAAAGTGTGACAAACTTTTATTTTGTCACACTGTACTGTAAAAAAATAAGAAATCAGGAAGGGGGCCAACACTTTTTCACACCACTGTGTATATATATATATATATATATATATATATGAAGAGATAAGGTACCATTTATTTATTTTACATTTTTTTTACCAATACAAAGTAAACACCACCCAATCATGGTACATTTTTGTTGAAATGTGGTACTTGTAATAGGCGAGAATATGAGAAAAATACACATCTTACTTCCTTTGGTGCTGTTTCTGCTGGGCTGCTTCAGACATTTGGCCCTGAAGGATGAGTTTACGTTGCTTATCTACATCCCCTTCCATACGAGCAAATGCATGACTTCCTACCAGCCCCAGGTCGGACTCTAGTGAGTCATCCCCGGAGTCATCTGCAGATAATTAGATTAATATCACTATTATTGTGTATTAGTGCATTACACAGAATTCTAGATATTACAGGGAAAGCAAAACCAATGCGCCATAAACATTTGTTGAAGCACAAATGCTTTTGCTGTGATAAACAGTAAAATATACTCTTGCACACTCGGAATGACCATTACTAGGTTCCGTGAGCACTACAACGTGGTACATTCCACAAGACCTGAACTCCCACCCTCAATCAGAGCTGGGAAAGCCAGTGGCGTGTGTGATGTACAGCCAGGCAAAGCGTAAAAATAATCCTTGTCTGTTATTCTTGTTTACATGTGTATGCCAAATATCTATTACAGGCCAACCTTAGCCATATTTGACCAGACATGAAAAGAAAGTCCAGTCTAAACAACAAACAAAACTTCTCATTTCCTCATCTGAACCACATGGTCACTGGTCAGACTACGAAATATTTAGCCAGAAATAAAAGAAACACTTTTGACAGAGAGATAAAAAGACATTAACAGGTAAATAAGGGGATTACAGCCAAACACTCAAATGCTAGCAAACCTAGGGTGAGACATCAACAAGACTCAATTAGACACAGATGTCTCCTGAAGGTTATCTTTGGCCAAAATCATTACAGCATGTTGAAGCAAAGAATGAGATTATGTTTTTGTAATGCAACATATGGTCCTTTTATGATCTTCATCACTGAACAGAGTGCACCAATGCTTGCTCTTTCTAGTAATGCCTTTGGCCTAGAGCTGAAATTTACTTGGATTTCAGGAGCACTTCACCACAATGTGACATAAAACTTTTTTGACACACAAAGATCTAATAAATAAGGAAACTGTAAACAATTAAATGCAAATATATCCATTGCACAGCAAATGAAGGAAAGAAAATGTAAAGTCTAGAGAACTTAATTGGGTTTTAAGGGAACGGGACAGAGAGAGAAAAACTGGAGAAAGCAGATTAGGGAAGTGTGTGGTTTGAGGCATGCTTTGAGACCTCTACATGGCTTCATAGACTAATCCATAAGAGCTGGGCTGTATTAGTAAAGGCCTAGTCACCTGCTGTCTTTAATATTACTCTAAGAATGACAGGCAGACTTGCTTCACATGATGAAATGGCATTGATAAGAGGACAAGAGTTTGATGAGATCAGCCAGATCAGTGATAGGGTGCAGCAGAACCAGTCCATGAACATTAAAAAGTGTCCTTTAATGTCTTTCAGAAAGACTGTATAGGAACAAACACTTCTGATCCTAATAAAAACCCTCAGCAAGGTTTCGTCCCTTCCAAAGATATCAATAATAAGTAATAAAGCATCTGCACAATAAATCTTAATAAAACAGATGTGACAAAGTTTAGTATCACACTAACTTTCTGTACTGCACATAATCTGCTTTAGTAAGGGCCCAACACCGAACCCAGTGGTATTCCATAACTAAGAATGTTAAGTAAGGGGCTTACGCTTTTGGGTTAGGGTCCTGATCACACCATTGTGTTTATTTTGCTATATTAACCAGCTGACTGAACATTACCTCTCTTTTTATATGTATAATAAGGCTACTTAACTGAAAAATACCTTTAATAAATGATTGTGTAAAGGAAGAAAATGCGGAGTGATGCGAGAGACACTAAACTAACATAGTTAAGTAGGTTGTCAAGGAAAAAATTTTACAATCATTGGTCTTTTAAGAGTCTATATACAAAAAAATTTGATTGTAGAAGATAAGTCAAACACATGATTCAGGTTTTGTAAATCAAGTTTAAAACACTTTGGACCTTAAAAGTTTCAAACCCAACCAGACTGAAACAGCAACACTGGCTCAACCAATTGTGTGAGTTTAGTGCTGGACTGACCAATGGCAGTTTGAACTGAATTTTTCTTCAATTTCTTTTGTTGACACCAGTGGCCCAGAAAGTACACACTTCACCTTAGGGCTGCACAATTATGACAAAAATCATAATTGTCGAATATTCCTTTGAAATTGTAATTGCTATTATTAATTACGATTATCACAATTTACATTGAATGATGTTTATACCATTGTTTGATGCAACTGCATGCCACATTTTTATATGAAAATAAACAAGCTGAAAACATTAACTGAAAAACTTTGTGCTTTACTATAGTATTAAGCCTCAAATGTCAACTATACATCGGATTGGTTTCTTCTTTAAATTATAAAAAAGTACAAATTTGAATGGTATTATAATGTTATACTAAAACTAAAATTTAAATAATGAGGAAAAACCCAAAAAAATGCAGAATAACATAAGTGGACTTTGAACGATTAATTGGCGCTTTGAACAATTACGTAATTGTGGCATTCATAATTGTAATCGCGATTAGAAATTTGATTAATTGTTTAGCCCTACTTCACCTTTAACTTCATATTAACAAGGAAGTCTGGAAGCTGTTGTGCCATACCATATACCGAGGTAAATTTGGTTAAGCGATCATGTTTGTTCAGATTAGAGCTTGTTGTCATTCTCAAAGGCTCAAGGAAACATCCAGAACAGGGATGGGCAACTTTGATAGTGATGAGGGCCAGCATTTTTTCTCCTTTATACCAAGGGGCCAGATTGCTAAACCATTTTACTCCATTTCCTTTTTATTGAAGGAAATTAAAGTATAACTAATGTAGTTTTAACTAATACATAACTAGTGCAGTTAGGCTAATTCAGAATGAAATCTTTGTTGTCAGTGGACAGAAATATTACCCCGACAAGCCAATGTAAACATTTCAATTGCATTGTCTGTAAATTTGCAACAAACAAATATACAGAGGTCCTTTTTTTATTAGTAGCCTACAGAACATTCTCAAAACAACCTAAAAGGACAGTTAAAAAGGGCTTAAGTAAAAAAAATAGTTCTTCTAAATGGTACCATATAATAACCTGGTATCTGCAGGATTTTTTCAATCAAATGTAAGACCTTTAAAGACCTTTTTAAGATCTGCACTTCACATTTCAGCCTTTAAACATTTTTTTAAGAAATGGGAGTCAAAAGTATCAATTAATTTATGAATTTAAACAATTATTATCAATTAATTATTATATTAAATAACATATAAATATATCTTAGTGTCTTAATTGTTTAGATTTTTATAATGCATTAGCTTTTTGTTGATCCACTGGTTCACATTTAAAAATATGTAGCAAAAATAGCAGATGGGCTTATTGAAAAAGCAAATTCGTTCTCTGCCAGCAGGTGTCACTTTCAAAACTGTGCATTCAACATTAGTGGTTTCCCCAGTAACCGCAGTACACAAAGCTGACGTGCAGCGCTCAAGTTTATTCAGTGAAATCATAGTCTTTTGAAGTTTAATCGTCGTATTAATCCATATAGCAATTCTTGTCTTTCCGTCCCCAAAGATATCTTATAATTTAGACTTTTTGTACCATTTAAGAGTTTGCATGGCCTTAAATGTAAACAATTTAACTGAAGACGTTTTAAGGACCCACGGAAACACTAATAAGAACATAGTCCAGTGCAAACATTTCATTTGCAATTGCATTTCATTTGCAAACATGCATTTGGCAAAAAGCTTTTGTTGACTATGAATTTTACCTTTTAAATTTGAGGCAAGTGCAACTCTGGCGTCCCCATTGTTTGTGAGCAGTGGTGTAATGGCGATTTAAATAAAATACAGATTTCCAAACAATCCAAACATATGGGTATCCCCTTGAACTTGGTAAAAAGACAATCCGTTTACCATATTGACTTGAAAATACCGTTTTCATGGTCAGTTTTTCATTTATTATTTGCTAATGTTAATGAGTGTTTACATTAGAGTGCACGTCCTACTACGCTGAAATTAATAAAGGAGCGGCTGGAAACTAGCGACCTCTCCTGGTTGGAGATAGTATTAACATCATAAACTGAAAGCAATCTTTACGTGACTTGCTTTTCAAATGTTTTAAAATTGATCATCCGAGTCTAATATGATCCAGTGGGCCGTACTAAAAGACACTGCGGGCCGCCAGTTGCCCATCCCTGATCTAGAAGCAAGACTGATAAAGCAGATTATTGAATGACCTTAACTTGGGAAGAGCTTATTTGGTAGTTCAGTTGGTGACAGAACTTGGGCTGCCTTTCCATGTCCTGGAATAAAGTGTTCAAAGACAGGCAGGAAAGTGCAGTGTTTATTTACATGGGACCTGGCTTATGTGCCGTGTTTGAATTGGATCAACAGCTCTAGTGAGACTTGATCACCTTAGCTGGCTCACAGTCCACATTATCTGGGTATGAAATAATGGCAGCCAACAAATATACAAATTCAACCTCCCACTAACAAGTAAATATACACATGTGCTCCGAGTGCTATGGCAAGCACACAAGCCAAACATACACTCATTCTCATATAGGCATTTTAACAGTTGTGTCTATACACACACACTTGACTGTAGCGGTGTTCACAATGGGTCTGTCTGAACGCAGAAGATTCTGCAGTAGTCAAAGCTCCTGTTGTGTGACAGAGGAGGTGCCAGCTCATCTGAATTCATGAAAAACCCACTACAGATCAAGATGAAAGGCCAGGCAGGAAGAGATGGCTCTCGATCAGCTGCATGCTGCTCAATCATAATTTTATCACATTAATGGAAGACAACTATGTTTTTCATTCTGTAAATCAAATACATTACTGCAGATGCTTCTCTGTTAAAAAAAAAGTGTTTTCCATTACACAGTGTAAATACATGTCTTCCAGATAATTGTTTTCCAAACATTTTGGTAAACATTTACTCCTACTACTTGTTTGGTAATCTTAAAGGGGTCATATGATGCAATTTCAATTTTTCCTTTCTCTTTGGAGTATTACAAGCTCTTGGTGCATAAAGAAGATCTGTAAAGTTGCAAAGACTAAAGTCTCAAATCCAAAGAGATATTCTTTATAAAAGTTAAGAGTCAGCCACGCCTACCTAAAACGGCTCGTTCTAACACGCCCCCACATATCTACATCACTATGTGGGAAGATTTGCATAATGCCGCCCACATGTTCACGCAAAGAAAGAAGGTGTAACTTTTATTCTCGCTGTAGTATTGTTGTTGTTGCCACCATGTCGTGAAGGCACTGTGTGATTCGTTGTGAAAGCGAAACTACTTTGTTTGGCCTTCCAAAAGAGGACGATATCTGCTTCGTCATGCCTGGAGCTGATCCGTGCTGGTCGCTGAGGAAATACTACAACTTTGCGGTGTGGATCGCTGGATCTGCTTTCATCGTGGACGAAGCGGAGTCCAGCCTGGAGTCGTCACATGTCCTTCCGGACACTCCTTCATCAAAATTGCCGGCCGCGCCGTTCTCAAGCCTGCCGCCTCTGCTCACTCTAACCCTCTGGCCGTTCCTCACTCTAGCCCCCGGCCTCTGCTCACTCTCGGCAGCCGCCGCTCACTCTAGGCTACCGTGTGTGACGCTGTTTCGTTGTGAAAGCGAAACTACTTTGTTTGGCCTTTCAAAAATGGACACGACTAGAAATCAGTGGTTAAGTTGTATTTACAACACTGCTCCAGAACACTTCAACCCAAATATTCAGATATGTGCAGCACATTTTATGGAGGACTGTTTCCTGATCATGGCAGAGTAGACTACAATGCCGGCTGTTCTGACTCACAGACTAGAAGTAAGTTTTTATATTTTATTTATTTAAAGCGAGTTTTTTGGGCGGTGTAGAAAAGGGCTTGTTGTTTGTCATTTTTCCGATCACAAATGCAGACATGGTTTTATGTTTACGCGGCGTGATGCAACGCAACGTGTAAAAAGACAGTATAAGTCATTATAATCCATAATTATGTCCCCACTGGATGCAACGAATGCCTTGTTTATAATGGGTTTTCATGTTTTTGAATCATCGCTCCGGCCTGACATGGCATTATCACAGTATGGTAAGGGGCGTAATATTTCTGTCTCACGCTTGAGGTATTCGGCCAATCACAACGCACTGGATAGCTGGCCAATCACAGCACACCTCGCTTTTTTAGAACAATGAGCTTTGTAAAAATCGACGTGTTTCAGAAAGGCGGGGCATAGAGGAGAAACAATAATGTACAGTATATGGAAAATATGTTTTTTGAACCTTAAACCGCATAAATACATTTCATTACACCAAATACACAAAATAATGTTCTTTTTAGCAGCATCATATGACCCCTTTAAGAAATCTACACTACTGTTTAAAAGTTTGAGGTAAGAAAGATTTTTTAATAAATTGAAACAGATCAATACTTTTTCAGCAAGGATGCATTAATTTGATCAGAAGTGACAGAAATGTTTTGTAACATTGTAAATGTCTTTCTATTTCAAACAAATGCTGTTCTTTTAAATTTTCCATTCATAGAATTCTGGGAATTTTTTTTTTTCATGGCTTCCATTAAAAAAAAATTACAAACACAGAATTTTTTAATAGTATGTCTACCTAAAAGATCTCAAATGATGATATATTGAACAATTTTTTGAGCTCACCCTCTAGATTTCCTGGCTTTTCGGCAATGCGGATCTGTCTCTCCGGGACCACGGGCTCCCCCTCAGAATTGCCAATGTTGGCAGGGAGGAGAGGCAGACCAATCCTCTCCTCTTTTTTTGAACGTGGGTAATACAAAGGCATTAACTTCCTGTACACTGGCTGGAAAACAGAATAAAATACAACATTTAGGGTCAATCAGTCATAGATACACATTCAGGTACATGCTAAAAAAATACAAATCTTATTTTGTATTTGTGAATTTTTTTTAAATAATGCAATTTTTAAAGTAATATTAGCAAGGAATACATGAATCTCGAATGTATAATGCTGTAGCTCACACTCAGCAAACACATACACAACAAAGTTGGCTTTTAAATGAAAACGAGAATTTCATAAGAAAATGAAAGAGCACACAAGAGAGTTAAAGGATGGAGGCTGTTGCATAACAGTGAAAATGAAATGCCACACACCTCCTCAACACCCGAAACAGCAAACACCACCATCTCAATGTTTTCACCATGGTTCTCCAGAAATCTACGGATAGTCCCTAGAAATATAAATGTGGGGGAAACACATTCTAATGAGATCCCTCTGAATTTCATCAGAAAGGAGTGACCTCAAATGTGATGTTTAATTTCAAAACATTAATTACTTAATGCTATATGTGTGGCATCCTCCAGTGGATATGCCCTTTTGACTGTGCTGACCACACAAAACCCCACAGATGCCATGGCATGTTCCCTGAGGAGAGAAACACAATGAATAAACATTAAATACGTTGCATGTGCTTCAATTATATATAGTTTACATTAGTCAGTTGGGTTTTCCATATAGGAGTTTTCCATATATGAGCAGACAGAAGTGTCTTTGATGACATGTTATCTGCATAGTCAAGCATTACTGTCATCAACTCCTCCTGTTGACACACACACACACACACACACACACACACACACACACACACACACACACAGTTGTTCCCAAACAATAGATGAATGGCATTTATCTTTAGCCAAGGGTGAGTTCAAATTCACAAAAGCTAATGTATTCACCAATGGAATCTAAATCTCATATAATTTCCTTCCTTCCCATAAGTACATGGGGTTTATTCTATAAATCATCAGACATCACTTTTAATAATTTTCAAGCATTGAACATAAAGGTTGGGGTTATTTTACTAAACACATCCCTGCCATGGGAACTGCTATCCTGCTTATCATAAAATATTAGATTTAGACTATATTTGAACATTTTATGTCTGATATGATCTTCGAGAGTGACTAACAGATAAAGTAACGAAGCATATTTACTTAGTATAATCACGTTTGAACATTCAGACAGTCTGTATGAGCTGACATTTAATATTTGTGCAACAATCTCACTAAATTTGTTGGAATGATCCGGCTTACTTGGCAAGCTGCATGACATTTCTGTAACAGCTGTAAAGAGAACTCTCCGCAGCTGTCCGGTACTTGGCTTTATATTTGGGTCCAACAGTGTGAATGATAAAGCGTGCAGCCAAGTTGAAACCCTCTGTCATTTTTGCCTCCCCGGTCCGACATCCTGGAAAAATATACGCACACCCATATCACTCCAGCAAAACTGATACAAAATTAGATAAATGGGATAAGATCTGTTCCAAAGCTGTGTAACAAACACAAACAACCTTTAAAAATACTAATAGTTTAAGATCACAATTTGATAACAGTTCTCTATCTGCTATCCTGGTAGTGCCCCCTACCTTTCAGTTTGAGTAATTCATCCCTTAGTTCAGGTCCGGAGTTTCTGTGGATACTGTCTGATACAGGATTCTTGTCCGTTAGTGTCTCATTACTTGTATTGACGATTGCAGTGCAGTTTAAAAGTGCCACATCTCCATTACTGTAAAATGAGGGAATAATATAGACCAGCGTATCAGATACAGAACATCATATAAGCTATGAAAAAAATGTGAGAACAAATATAGCATATAAATATCTGCGTTGTTATTGTAAAATAAAACAGTTAAAAATAATTGGTAATTGAAATAAAACTGAAATAAAATAAAATATAAATATTAAATGAAAAACATGAACTTCGATTAGAAAATAGAAAAGTTGCCTTGGTTTAAGAACTAATGTTACTTACTAAAACTGAAAAAAAAAAAAAAAAAAAAGTCAAATGCACATAACAAAATTGCTAAAAACTAAATTAAACTTGAAATATAAAGAAAAACTAAAAATATCAATAAATAATATTAATAAACATAACGATATACATATATATATATAGAGAGAGAGAGAGAGAGAGAGAGAGTAACTGTATATAACAGTTATTTTATTTTATAACATTAAGTGTTTAATATAAATGTTATATAGCACACAATATAATGTTATTGATTTATATATATATATATATATATAGCTTTGCAGTTATATACATGGAAGTCAGGTGAATGACAGAATAAAGTCACTATGAACAAATCCTGCAAGCATAACACTATGTGCACTGATGAATTCTATTCCTGCCTGAATTTCCAGAAGGACTGGTTTTATGAATTGGGCTTCATAGAGAAGTTCCATGCAATGAACTTCTACTTTCTTAAAAAAGAGAAACTATGAATTCAAAGAGAAAACCATCTTGATCCTTCCCTAACAAAGCTATATTGGCCTGAAAGCCAAAAGGACATCCCAGACAGTCACATGTGATTGAGCTATAAAGGGGATTTGTGTGCATGAGGGAACGACTAACAGACGTGAAGAGCTGGTGCAAATAACTGATGCAACAAACACACAGTGCAGTTACATAAAAATATTTAGGTCCAAATTACTAAATGATTAAACTATTAAACTAAAACAAAATCTTAAACTTTAGAACTAAGCAAATCAATAGTTACATTTATAGACAATCCTGCTGCTTAAGCTTTTAGGACCAAAAACAGATTTATATGTAGTCTATTTATTAAGCAATCATGTAGTAAGGGTGTAGAAATTCATGGAGAAGAAATGTCAGTGAAAATAACACTCACAATAGTACAATCTTGCTATTGATGTCTTGTCTGAAGGGGAAAGGGGACTCGAAGGAATTGAGCTGATTGGTCAGCTGGTCATCTTCCTCCATTAAGAGGTTTTCTCCATCCACCTCGTCCTGGACTCCCTGAGGCTGGTCCCACGTGGGGAGGTTCTGGACCTCCACAAACTGGGAACGAGCTCCCAAGGGATCCATTCTGTAGCTTCACTAGGCAATGTTGAACTGAAAAGACACAGACAAGCATTTACACACAATAAGACCTCAGTTTGACCTGGGCTATATTAGCACATAAATGCATACACACAGATATGTTTGCATTAGTTTACACATGTAAAGTGGTTACAATGACAGACTTCGATGCTGAGGCCCTCTAGAGAACTGGTTGAGAACCAATTTAGTAAGAATTTTTAAACCTAGATATACATGCAAGTGTTTCACACTTAATAACTCCATGTTTACAAAAAACACATGACATTATTATTAGATTTCAATCCAGTGTGGTGCTTTCTTCAAAATGAATTCACGTAAAACATAAAGCCACAATGAAATAGAAGAAATGAGTTCCCAAACTTTCAAAAAGTGACAATAATTGTAAAAGTATTCAGCAAGACTTTCTGTGCCAGCTGCAGTATGAGAAGTGTAGTGTTCATGAGCGTAACTGACTTTCAAGCACAACAGAGAGCCTCTATCAGTGCAGACAGACAGGAGGACTTCAGGAACAGATAAGATATTCAGCAGAAATGAGATGCATGTGTAAAGGTCGACTCCCCAAATTAAATTTCAACAACAACAACAAAGCTACGAGTTCCTTCAAATACATAAAAGTTTCAACTCGAAAGCAATAGGCACATACAAACAACGCAACACAATACAGTTTTAAAGAGTATAAAAGGGAAAGCAACACGCCATACTCATTCTAACCACACAGGTTTATATCGACTTGAAAATGCTAATTATAACCACCATCAATCACAATAACCAGCAACCTACCAGATGTCCTAAGATGCAGCTATTGAGTCCTTCCTACTGCACAAACAAACCCACATTAGCTCCAACTAATCCGTTAAAGATCACTGTCATTTTCCAGTGCTTCCGCTTTTAAATTAGCCATTGTTAAAATGTGATTTTAGCTGCTTGTGGTCAACACATCGTATTTGCAACATTCAGCGAGTTTCCTGATCAGCTGATTCACGAGGGCAAAAATCATCACTTCCGGGAATGCAGTAGGGGCAGTGGCTATGTCGTCGATCCGTGTAGAAAACGCACAGGCCTATACAAAATTGAAAGACATATTTTAATCGACGTTCTGGTGTCATCGCTAAATTAAAATAAGCATAATAAAGTACAATGAATAAATAAATTAAATCAAGTTTTAATTATAAGCCTCATGGACAGCAACATGACTTCACACTCACAGACCGAAGTAATCGACAGGATACACATGATTCATAAGAAGAGCAGATAAATAAAACACATAAAGCAGGGTGAACAATGAGGAAGCATTCCGAACAATATTTTAGAGTGATACAGATGTCTATAAAAAGACCAATTCTAGAAACGTTTCGTGAAGTCACACCGTAGTTCTGCTCGGTAGTCTACCACTTTTGTCTTTACCTGATGTCACACATGCGACTGAAAGCAAAGCATGTAGAAGTTCTCCACATCCACAGAGGCATTCTTTTCATAAAGGACTGCGCATACAATATACATCTAATCGACAAAGTATGTAACTACATTTTCTATACGCAGTGGCTTATTCTGAACTTGATTATCTGCATATCTCTTGTTCTTTAAATGAGATTAAACGGACTGCATGTGGTTCACGTTGCTGTGTATACGGTCGCATGGACCTCAAAGCGTGGTGTTGGAGTAACAGTTGCTCACTTTCATTTTATGAAAGGACCATTTAATTCATATACGTTACACTTAGCAATCACACATTTTTAAAGGTACTTATGAGAGTCATTTGTAGCAGCCGAATAACTAAAACACCAATAAACAACGCCACAGCCACAGATCTGATGTTAACATGTTGACACAGGATAAAACTATATGAAAATAATATTAAACATGTAGTAACTTAGCATTTATTTTTGCCACTACAGTCTTTATATGTAATATAATTATATTTTCCAACAATCTCAGTATTACTGTTTTATACATTAGCTGTTCACCAATAATTAAGATTGTTTTATGTATTCATTGTCAGGGATCATGCATAATAAAATTCATCTCATAATTAAAAAGATGCTTTAGCTACTAGCCAATTTCCATCTGCAAATGCATTTGCTTTGACATAAATCTTATTTTATGCCATGTAGAATTTACTTTGATATGCAGGTTTATACAGTATGATTGGTCTTTTCTAAATATGTCCTCACATGATAAATTGTGCACAGTTTTCTAGATTAAAGGAGCAACCCATCTAACCCTACTCCCTTGCTGTTGTGTGTGTGTGTGTGTTTGTGTATCTACAGCCTCTGGCTTGTCATGGGTTTAACTAAGCAGTACCTGCGCTATGCGGCGAGTGCTGTATTTGGAGTGATCGGCAGTCAGAAAGCCAATATCGCGTTTGTGACCCTCAGGGGAGGTGAAAAGGGTCGATATGTCGCCGTGGGAGCCTGTGAGCATGTGTTCATATGGGATATCCGCAAAGCTGAGAAGGTACTTGCTTTAAATGGTTTAGAAGATTGCTTAGTACATTACATTCACTCATCAGTTTATATAAACTCATATACGTTGAACTCACCCCTTTCATTTCTCAGGTTCTTATACTTGAAGGTAAAAAGCATGAGGTAACATACCTGTGTCCTTCTCCTGATGGCGTTCACATAGCGGTGGGTTATGAGGATGGAGGTGTGCGCATCTTTAATCTGCTCAACGGTGAAAGCAACATCTCCTTCAGTGGACACAAATCAGCTGTCTCAGTTATTAGATATGATGCACTTGGTGCTCGTCTCGTCACCGGCTCGAGAGTAAGACTACAGTTCGTTTTACAACAAATTTTTTTTTTTTTTAAACTAATTTTCAATTCTACAAACTAAAATCATTTTTGTTGTTGTATTTTAGGACACAGATGTGATTGTGTGGGATATCATCAATGAGTGTGGTCTGTACAGACTCAAAGGACACAAAGATGCAATCACACAAATTTTGTTCTTGGAGAGCAAAAACCTGCTGATTACAAGGTAAATCGGTCTTTATATTTTATTGGAACGAATTTATCACTTGAAAATACTCATATTATATTGTATTATTGTATATTGTAGTACACATAATTTACCAGAATATAAGTAGCTTTTTCATCATCTGAAATGTGCTGTGACATTAAAAATCTAATTAACGTCAAAAACACAAAATATTTGGATTTTGGCCATAAGTGAGAGGTACATGAAGCCAAGTTTCCCACGTGCCAGTGGTTTCAGTTTCACCTTAAATAAATGTGTTTAGGCTCTATGTATATATTTATAGTAAACATTGTTTATTATGAATGCCGCAATAATTTTATATTTTTCATTACTGTTCTGCACTAAATACTGTTAAATTTCAAGGATTTGAGTGAGGGGAACCAAAATAGTTTGTAATTTTTGTAAACATTTCATTTTATTTACCGTTTTTACGTATGTTTCCTCAGTTCCAAGGACAGTTTTGTAAAGTGGTGGGACTTGGACACACAGCATTGTTTCAAGACCATGGTGGGCCATCGCACTGAGGTAAACAGGTTCATTTTACACTGTTGAGACTTGATCTTTCTGAAATATACAACACAACATTTTAAATGCATGCTCTTGCTGCTTTGGTATGTCCACATAAATCAGTGTACTGTAAATGATTAGGGAGTTTACTGTAAATGACCTGAGGTTAGGTGGCATTTGGTATCATAAAGAAAAATCACAAGGTGTTTTCTTACTTTACTTTTGGACAATGAGCCTCCAGCACTATCCAAATATCTATTAGTGTTGTAATACAGTGCAACATTCTCTCCAATCTCTGTAGGTATGGGGGATGGTCCTGTTGAACCAGGAGAGTAGGTTGCTTACAGGGTCTGCTGACAGTGAGCTCAGAGCCTGGGACATTCAGTACATTGAGGAGGTAAGGCATATACGTAATTTATGTAGTGCCAAATGGTTACTTTGTTGGCTGAATTACATTCCAGTACAGTCTTGAATGTGATATTTGAACTCTTATATAGAGAATTAAAGCTGATTTCATATATTCAGAATGACATTAAAGTTTCTTCACAGGGTAAGGAAGTCGGGGAGCCACAGGAAAAGAAAGTCAGAACTCTTCTTGAGAATGAGGAGGAAGATGAGGAAGGACTTGACGAAGAGCCAGAAGAAGTAATATTTCTTCCAGTATTCTCTCCTGTGCACCCTGTTCATTTAATTAATGTGTTCAGTGGATCCTAGTGACTTGAGATGACACAATACACTTCACTTAGGGTTTCCTTTAAATGTTCATCACAGATCTGATTTCTGTCCACAGCGAATTCTCAGTTGTAAGAAAGCTGGTTCTGTTCTGAGGGAAGCCAGAGACAGGGTTGTATCCTTGGTCACAGACGCCAAAGCTAAAGTGCTAGCATGCCATGTAAGTATGTTTCTGTTGTGTATACTAGTGTAACATCCTTCTGAAAAAGGGTTTCACTCTTATTAGCTTGGTCGGTAATGTTGAGAAGTACCTAATTAAAAGTAGCTATACAATAGGGCAAAAATTGAGCCTACAACATATGATAATTTTGAAAAATCTTTTAACAGGGTCTGGATGCTACTCTTGAAGTCTTTACTGTACTATCTGAGAAGGAGGTCCAGAAAAAAATGGACCGAAAACTAAAGAAAGCCAAGAAAAAAGCAAAGTGTGTGAGACCTCTGTTTTGAAATGTGAAGATTTTACTCTTAGCTTTTCTGCTATTCTGATGAACTGTTATGTTTTGCAGGTCTCAAGAAGGAGAAGAGGATGGACCTGAACCTGTAGTGGAGAGAAAGTTGAGTGATGAGATTCAAAAGCTGGCAAACATAAAGGCGTCATCAAAGATCAGGTCAGAGAGTACTTCTACATGCAGTTATAGTTCCCTTGTGTGCGTTACTGGTATTAAGTATTGATAGTAATGCTTTTTTCATCTACAGATCGATGGACTGCCTTCTGGTTCCTAACGGAGAGATCAAGCTTGCTCTTCTGCTGCAGAATAACACAGTGGAGACATACGCCTTGAAGACTACAGAGAAGAATCCTACTGGCACTAAAACCTCTCGCCTCACACTGGGCGGTCATCGTACAGATGTCAGAACGCTGGCCTTCAGCTCAGATAACATAGCCATCCTCTCCGCCTCTGGAGAGACCGTCAAAGTGTGGAACAGGTGAGTGTGATGATGACAAATGTTTCAATTTATTTGCGTGGATTTTGAGTCCTTAACAAGAAGTATCTTCTTTGGTCAGGTCCACCTTGCAGGTCATTCGTACCATGGGATGTGAATATGCTCTCTGCTCGTTATTTGTTCCTGGAGACAGACAGATTATCTTAGGAACAAAGGTATGTAACTCTTCACTTCTCAGTCATCAATCAATTAATTCTTCAACTTCATGTCTTAACTTTATTACAAACCTGCATGACAAAATTACAAAAAAGCCATGTTTAGAAGCCATATGCAAGATTAGTGTGAGGAGCATTTTTTCATTATTTTTTACGCACTAACATTGTAGTTTTTATTCATATTTTGAATTCGATTTTTTTTATTTTCAGTTTTCATTTTAATTTCAGTTTTAGATTTTTTGTCATTTTTATTCTTTTTTCATTTCTGTTTTAGTACTGATTTAAACTAAACTAGGTGTGTAAAGAGACACTGTGCCACATTGGCCGTAATTGACATTAAAAGTGCCATTAGTTCTGGTCTGTCTTATAACTGAACATGAGCCACCAACTTGAATGAGACATTTCCTGAATGCTAATTAAGATCCTGAAAGACTATCTGTTGCAAAAATTTTAGTCCATATATTTATTACTATGAAAAATTTATTTTTTATTCTTTTGTCAGAGTGGGAAGATTCAGATTTTCGACCTGGCCTCAGGAAGCCTTCTAGAGACGACTGACGCCCATGATGGAGCTCTTTGGTCCATGTGTCTCTCTCCAGACCAGGTATAATATCGATCTCTCTTTTGAATGACAAAGAGCTCCTCATCCCTACAAAACACCAGTCTGTGACTACAGTGAATTCCTGACTCTATTCCAAAGACAGACAGTTGCTGTCCAAAGCTGTCAGCAAGAGTTTTAGCTTTATGTGAACATATTTGACTTTGATTTGTGTGTGTTAATGCAGAGAGGGATTGTAACTGGTGGTGCTGACAAGACTGTGAAATTTTGGGACTTTGAGCTCATAAAGGATCAGGACTCTGGGAAGAGCAAGTGAGTTATTATCTGTGATCACAAACCACGGCTCTCTCATCCAGATTTCTCCATCTCTCTTTCTCTTCTTGGCTTTAATGTATTATTGCTTTGTGTAATCCACAGGAGACTGACGGTGAAGCACACACGCACCCTGCAGTTAGATGAGGACGTGCTGTGTGTGCGCTACAGTCCTGACCAGAGACTGCTGGCTGTCTCTCTTCTCGACTGTACAGTCAAGATCTTTTACACAGACACGCTAAAGGTAAACCACAAGCACAGCATATAGCATTACAATACTTTCCTCACACCACACCACAACACATAGCATCTTGCATGTTAAATCCATACATAAATCCAATGCTTTGTAAAAAAAAAAAAAATGTTAACATTGTCCAGCAAAAAGACCACTGTTAAACTCGAATTACATTTACTGAGAGATATTTTACCACCGATAAACATCCTGACACTATATGCAGACAGGCATATGTCAACATCCATCTTGGGTGATCTGACCACGTTAGCTGAGACCGACAGCTAACGTTATTCTTTATCGAAGAATAACATATGTCTCAAATGTATCTCCAGAGCTATGAACTCATACATCATGTGTTAGTGTGTCATGTTGATCAAGTGTGAAAAATAAAGAAAAAATGTTGCTCAGCACAAATTATATTTCAAACAGAATGCTTGATGTTTAATTGCAATTTTATTCGAAGACTTGCATTAACTGATCTTCAGTTTATGTATTCGTGCTTCGCATGATATATGTGACCCTGGACCACAAAACCAGTCTTAATTTTAGCAATAGCCAAAAAAACATTGTATTTTTAAAAACAAATTTATGCCAAAAATCATTAGGATATTAAGTAAAGATCATGTTCCATGAAGATATTTTGTACATTTCCTACCGTAAACATATCAACACTTAATTTAGTAATATGCATTACTAAGAACTTCATTTGGACAAATTTAAAGGCGATTTTTTTGCACCCTCAGATTACAGATTTTCAAATAGTTGTACCTCAGCCAAATATTGTCATATCCTAACAAACCATACATCAATGGAAAGTTTATTTATGGTGTATAAATCTCAATTTAAAAAAAGGACCCTTATGACTGGTTTTGTGGTCCAGGGTCACATATGTTACTGAAATGAAAAAGTCTTGAAAGTTTTATAGGCCTGATGGATAAATGAGAATTCAATAATTCAGTCATTTTCTTATTTATAATTATCATATAATTGTTCATTTTAAATGTTACTTTTTTTTAAAATAATTGTGAAATAATTGTTTAAAATGGAATTATTTTTAAACCTTTTTTTGTATTCTTTTATTTTCAAAGAAAATTACTTACCCAATTTCCTTATCCATCCACAGTATTCTCATACTTGTGGAAAAAGATATTTAAAATGTGCCCTATTGAACTTTGTATTTCATTTATATTTCATAAATAATATACAAACTATAAATGGGGCCACATAAATATGTCAGCACATTATAAATAACCAATCACCACTCCTAATGCCCAACTCTACCCAAAAAACAGTAGTTTTTTACAGGACAGATATGAGAGCTGTGCAGAATAATACGAGATTTGCCCTCTGTCTCAACTTCCTCTAGTTCTTCCTGTCGCTGTATGGACACAAGCTGCCAGTTCTGTGCCTGGACATTTCGCATGTGAGTCCCCTGGCTGACACAACACATCCTGCAAGTTATTCTGACGAATGGCGTAATTGTTTTGGAATGATGTTTGTGGGTTTCTGTGCGTGTTCTGCAGGACAGTGCTTTAATAGGCACAGGCTCAGCAGACAGAAATGTGAAGATTTGGGGTTTGGACTTCGGAGACTGTCATCGCTCTATGTTTGCACATGACGACAGGTGATAAAAACACTGCTGCTCATATAATGACGCTTTGCTGGCACAGTCTGTTCTCTGTCACATTACCTGTACGCTTTTTAGTTATATTGTTATTGAAAGTTATGATACCGGTAAGTATAGTGATTTCATTGTTCCTACCTACGGTGTTGACATCCCTCCAGCGCCTGTGAGCTGTAGTCGCTGGATGACATCAGCCCAGATGGTCATTATTTGTCATCCACTGTTCTTTCCCTGTTGTCTTTCCTCTCTAGTGTCATGTTTCTTCAGTTTGTCCCTAAAACCCATCTGTTCTTCACTGCGGGAAAGGACCGAAAGATCAAGCAGTGGGACGCTGACAAGTTTGAGCACATCCAGACATTGGAGGTGACCTTCTCTAATAGTTGGACAGCATTCAATAGGCATTATTCCATAGCCGGAATGAGTTTTCCAAAG